TCCACCCCCACCCCTCCGGCCCGGCGCGGGCCCGGCGGACCCAAAGGTTACGAAGACCTTCACGGCGCTCCTCCTCGGCCCCGCGCCCCCTTCGTCTCTCGCTGTCTCTCGAACCTCTCGCTCGCTCTCTCGCGCGGGGAGCCGGCCGCGGAGACCGTCTCGCTCGCACGTCCCCACCTGACGCCGTCCGTCGGCGAGCAGGTAGCAAGGCGGTGGAGGGGGGAGCGGACGGGCAGCCAGGCGCGGCCGCGCGGGGCCCAGCAATCTCAGTCTCTCTCTCTCCCCCTCTCTGTCTCTCTCTCTCTCTCTCTCTCTCTCTCTCTCTCTCTCTCTCTCTCTCTCTCCCTCTCTCTCCCTCTGTTCCTCAGTTTCAGTTCTCTTTCGCTTCGCGTTCGCACAGCGCGCCTCGCCGCCAATGCCAAGATCACGGGTAGGTCCGCCTGGGGCGTAAGAGAGATGGACGGATAGGAATGGAAGGAGAGAGGGAGAGGGGAGGGGGGAAGGGGGCGGGTGAGAGGGACTGAGAGCCGGCGCGACTCAACGGATATGGCCCGGACCGGTGGCAGGCCACGGCGAGCCGAGGCGCGGTCGCGTCAGATGCATACACATGATGCAGTTGTTGGCCTTGATTTTGAGCCAGCGAATGCAACAGGTTATGTTGTCTGCTCGGCTGTCCGGGCGGCCTTCCAGCAGGCGGGTCCTGTCCTGTTGTCCTGTTCTGCCGCTGCAGGAGAGTCCGCAGGGATGAAATCGGGAAGACACCGATTCTCAATTTCAAGAAACCCCTCTCATCGCTCAAGTCTCTCTCTAAGCCCCGCGTTGAGCTTCTTCTTCTTCTTCTTCTTCTTCTTCTTCTTCTTCTTCTTCTTCTTCTTCTTCTTCTTCTTCTACTACCATCGTCATTGACGTACGATTGCCGCTGCCGGAGGTGACCGAGGGGAGGGCTAACGACCCTCGCGGGAGCGACGCCCAGCAAACTCAAAAATATAGAATTTAAAATATTTTGGCGCTTCAGGTGCGCACAAACCCGGCCGCGGAGGCAAGGCGGCATGTTTAATCCATGAGCCTCTGCCTCTCTCACTCATATTAGCTGCCCACTCACGGTAAGACACCCATCCCCCTCCCCCTAAATCGTCTCTGTTCTGTCTGCCACGCGCAGGATAATCGGGGAGGGGAGGTGCGGGAAGCGGCGGAGAAGAGACGGAGGGGGGGGGGGGCGTCGTCACACTCACGCGGAGGAACCGCTACGTGTCATTTTCGGCATGTATTTAATGTTGCACAACATGCTGTATTGGACAAACGCTGTTCGGGGTTGACAGGGTGATAGGGGACCGTTCATATACTACGTAGTTCATTTTGGGGGGAGGGGGGGTTCAGCCTTGCACTACGGCCGGTCACGGAGGGGGGGAGGGGGGGTAGGCGCTGGTCACGTAGTATTCGTCATATTCCTGTTTTGCGCCAGCAAAACACCGAGTTGTCTGCTCTAATTCGTTCAAGTAGACCCCTTTCGACTAAAGTTGTGTCCGTTTGGGCGCTAGAGTGGGTTTTTCGACGAAAATACCGTGAAAATGACCACGCTGTACTTAAAGTACAAGGAGGCGCGAAATAGGAAAATGACAGAGGAAGTACCCCCCCGAAACAGCACATTCTGAATCGACAATTGTCCTCGGATTCACCGTATCTTTAAAATCTCTTAAGCTATTCTAGTTTCACTGTTGTTCCTGTTCCTAAAAAAAAGAATAAAGAAAAAAATTACAGAAGAAAATAAATAATTGAAGTTCTTAACTGCCCTATTTGTTGATGTAATATATATCTCGTATTTTACCTCAAAAATGCATAAAATGTCTTTTTCTAGCTTGTGCGCTAATGTAGATGGAAATGCGCAAAATATGGTTTTACTACGTGACCGGTGGGGGGGAGGGGGGGGGGGGTTGGCCCAGTACTACGGTCGGTCACGGAGGGGGAGGGGGGGTCAAAAAATGCCCCAAAATGAACTACGTAGTTTATGAACGGCCCCTAGGGGTTGTCGTTCACTTAGTCAGTTATTGACAAATTTGCAGGTACGCGACTGACTTCCTCGTGCATCAGTAATACTTTTAAAAGGACTGGGAACTTTTACCTTCGGGTAGAGACGTCCACTGGGGGACAGTCTAAAAATTACCGCTTGTATCAGTGCCGCTCGTATTGTAAGTAATACACTTGCGAACGTGAACAATATTCAAAAATAGTGAGACGGAAAAATGTTCCATTTGTTGCCGTAAAATTACAATTTGAGATTGTAAACTTCCAAGCACTTCGACTCGGAATTGATCCCAAAATCAAGAATGGGCTGTCTAATTTTACAACATATTTTGTAAATAAAAATTAAAATTACGACAAACGTTGAAAATTCATGAGAATATTTTTCACAGTGTAGTTGAAACACTAAATGCTGTGCAAAAGTCAAACTGAATAACAAGATGACAGTTCGACACTTGAAACCTATACACACGGAGTTCGTGGAGGCTCCGTATAAACACGCAGTTCCCAGGGGCTCGGTACAAACACGGAGTTCAGCAGGCCGCCGTAAAGGGTCGTAACTATGTTTTTTGAAAATTTCGAGTTATGAAGTGCGTCGGATAGAGGAAACCAAGGGCTATCGATCAGCGAAAACCGCATTTCGATATGTCAATTAGTTTAATAGTAATTCTGGTCTGAAAATCCAGCCGCCCATAAGGCGCAATGTAAATCCAAAACTTTGAAGCGCTATATCTCAGAAGTGACTTTCAAGCACTTACGACGTTATACGGGGACCCACTGAACTGCGTGTCTGTACGGAGCTGCCTGGAACTACGGGTTTATACGGAGACTCCACGAACTCCGTGCTTGTAGGTTTCAAGTGTCGAGTTATAGCTAACTGTAAAAGTAATTTTTTGGAGTTTTAACTGCAAATCTAATAAGTTTTACAGTTTGAACTGCGAACTTAATAGTAATAGTTCGCTGCACTGTGCACACACACGGTCAGCACTACCTGATAGGCCTCCACGAAGAACATTCTTCGAAATGAAGAGTGTGAACGTTTGTGCTACATCCCGCCCCTGCCCTCTGCTCAAAGGCGTTCCGAGCGGGCCATCGTCTCTACTTGGCTGTTTGGCGGGTCGGCCTACTCGGCGCGTTGCAGGCGCTATCATCGCGCAATGTTGTTTGGAAGGCTGCCTACACTGGCAAGGTAGGCCTGGTTCGCGAATGGGAATGAGAGCCTGTTACGATCGTTGTCTATGTACGTTGTAGAGGCCTGACAGACACGTTTAAGAGGCATTTTGAAGCGAATCAGTGAGCATAAATGTTGGACCAACAGATCGCGAAGAAGTCAGAAATGCAACGAAATATTTTAGAAGGACAATTATGCCAAGATATATATAAATACCATATATAATATATACCATATATACCATTCACGTGTTAGTTGGAGTGTCTTCCACGAGAAGAGTGTTACAGAGTGCTGTGTACTCGATAACAGACCATAGACCACAGTCGAGCTCAAACTTATACTACGCAATTCCCACAAGATTGGGAAGCGGCTGCGAGCCACGACTGTACATGAGTCAGTCACACACACACACACACGTGCACCGCAAAAACCACGGTGCGCAGAGGGGTGTGTGTGTGTGTGTGTGTGTGTGTGTGTGTGTGTGTGTGTGTGTTACACGTGTACATCGTGGGAATAGAGCAAAGCAGACGCCTCGTGCAATAAATAGACACGCGCACCCACACAGACTCACTCACACACACAAAAGGCTGCTGGATGAGATATCTATTTAAATTCACAATTACGATAGCACTGTCGGATGCGCATGCGCGCGGGACGCATCACACGCAGCAGTATTTGCCACGTGCGATTTGCGTTTATTTTCAGATGCATCGTCGTCTCGAGACGTGGAGACGAGACCCCAAGGCTGCACCACATGGCAGCAGGTCTAGGCGCGTGCGCCGCGGAACGTAACTGCTCACACGTCGGACACTCATACGGTTACCGGGCCGGACTGTGTCCTTTGAAGTGTTTTCAAACATTTACGCTACGATTACGTCATTGTTTCTAGGGCAGTTACAGAGTGAGGAATTTCAAATTCCCTGACGGACATTTCTTTGACTTTTCCCCTACCAAATTCGAGGTTTTCCATGACATTGATCCCAAAGATGTTTTTGTTTGACTTGTTGAGGTCTAGTTGAGGCATTCATTTAAGTAGCGGCGCGGCAGCTAACCACGCTGCCGATTTTGAAATTTTCTAATTTATCCACGACATGGTGATTGGCTTCTATGACTTTTCCATGACTTTCACGACATTATTATTCTCCCTGCATGACGTTTCCATGACTTCCAGGTTTTCTAAAACTTTGTTACATGCCTGTTCTTGTAACTTAAAGCATACGTCTACACGGTATGGTAAAAGTAAATGTATTATTGACTGTTCGTTCTTGATTTTTCGCGAATTTGTGACGTCTACTTGCTACGCGTATGCAGACAGAGCACCAAAAACAAATCCTTGAAAGTAGAAGTAACCAATTCTATATTTTCCCCTTTTTTGGAAGCCGCAGAGAATGCGCAGAGTAAAGGTTAATACTGCTGCAAGCAGTGCACGTTGAAGAGTTAACGAAAGAATAAAGCAAAACAATT